TCCCCGCAGTGTGCGTCGCTCTGCCCGCAGATCTCTGTCTCAGGAGAGGCAGCAGAGTGGAGTAGTGACAGCAGCAGCTCCGCCTCTCCTCCACAGTTATCTCGCATTTAAAGGAACATTACAGCAGCTCTCACATGGATGGAGCCCACAACCTGCTACTTACACTGGGAGGGAGGGGCCCAACATGAGGGTCCAGGAGGAACCTCCAGGGGGCCTTTTCGAGGGGGTCCAAGATCAGGATTAAAGGTGTGTATAATTAAATGTTTGACTTCATCCAACAGTACAAAACGTTAAAATGTATCTGTCTGAGTATGTGAAAGTACTCAGATTTTTTAGTCAAAGTATACTACAGTACAAATATGATGGCATTAACACTGCATTACAATCCTATTATTAATTTCAACTAATATTATTCTATTGGGCCACTATTTTTGGCATATTTATGAGCAATATTTTTTCCTCACATTTTTAAGCATTACAAATAAAATAAAACATATTTTTCCATATCTATATAATTATTTTCATGTCCAAGTGGTAGAATATAGGATACTTTCTCTCTATATATATTTCATAATGCACATATGAGTATAACAAAAAAAATGGTGTTAGGCATTAGTTATAGTAATACTATTTTATTATTGGTTAAGATATAATGATACTAAAAATAAGATACTAATACATGAATGTAACATTAATACTCAAGATGCTCAAGATATGACGTGGTTTGGGACCCCTGTGCTGACCACGTGGCGCCTGATGAAAAGCTGAGGTAAGTGAGTGCTCAGCCTCAAATCCACATTTCTGACTAATTGGCTTTGGATGGAGAGACGCACACTCAGAGTGATTCTGCTTACGCACTTCAAATTACACCGAATGGTTGCTCAGCTGCAGCCTTTGTTGACAGCAATGTTTGTTTCCATAGAAAACCAGTGAAATATGCAAGCCAAATATATTGCATGCTTTTTGATTCTGCTTACAATGCTGTCTACTCCCAACAAAGCCACTCAATGCCCCATAAAAGAAAGACAGCTGAAGGACAAAGGCATTCACATATAATACATTACATTGATGCTTAAACTCTTACCAATAAAACACTGCCATTTCTCATATAATTGTTGTTTTATAATATACAATTTGAATGTTTTTACTTTAACTTCTTACGTTGGTGTTCGTCTTTTTTCTAATGTTTTTTATTTTATTTTAAAATGATGCAACTATCAAAAACCAACTTCCCCTCGGGATAATTACATTATATTTTTTTCTGGTTTTGATATCAAAGCTTTACTCTTTGGTTATACTAATGAAAATGTAAGCTTGTATTCCAGCCTGTATGAACCATATGACACAACCCAGGCAGCAGTGTGCCCCCCTGTGCTCAGTGATGGTAAAATAAAAATGGATGTTGTAAAACAGTTTTTTCCGCTCTATCCCATTTGGGTAGGGCTCCAGTGAACACAGCATGGCTTTGGCTTCTCTGTCTGCTGTGTAATCGGTCCGTGACCTGCTTTCTGTGCATCTGACCTGAGTCCAATAAGCAGCAGTGAGCCAAAAGAAACTGTCTCACCTGTTCACTTTGTTCTCTCTGTCCTGCTTCAGTCTCCTGCTCTTTGTGGAGATTTGAACTCTTAAATCTCCAGTCATTATGCTCAAATAGGCCAACCAAATTCTGGCCAGGTGATATCACCAAAATCTTCTTTCATGATAACATTTCCTATCTCAGTAATGATATCATGATACAGCACCTTATCTTACTCCAAAAATAAGTAGTCTATATGAAATAACCACATGGAAAATCCTGTTTTTGTATACTCCCTTTTGCATTAAATACGTGAAAATGTGTAAAGTATTTTCTCATTTAATATGATATACAGTGTGTAATCAAATTAAGATAATAGTTTAATTTAACAGAGAGAGTTTGATAATTTTATAAGAAATACAGTATGGGTTAGCCTGATGCCTGACTGGAGAAACAATGGTTAAGATAAATTAATTTGATACGATGATTTTGAATGTTTCTTTCTGATGAAAAGATTGAGTTATATACATACAGTATATGGAAAGATGAGTATATACCCAACACCCAGACATTTTGTAGACTGCACTTTATCTATTCATTTTACATTTATAAAATACTTATACACAAGTAGTTGAAGATTGGAGCAAAAGTGGATTTTGCACAGAGCTGAGGAGGTCTGTGAGTCCCATGCTTTTCACTTCCTGCAGATCATCCACTCCACAGGCCCGCTCAGTTTTATCTTTTATTCTTAGCTCTCCTCTGCAGACTTCAAAGAGAAGTCTTGTAACAGACTGGAATGATCCGATTGCTTATTAACACTGCCGTCTTCCTCCAAACGACAATACCAAGTCTTCAAAGTCAAAGTCAGCTTTATTGTCAACATTTCTACATGTGTTATAGAGAAATCTTGAAATACCGTTTCTCGCAGTCCCACAGTGTGACATATTTACATAAAACAAGATACACAAAGGGCCTAGATAAACAGGGTATAAAACTAAGTAATATTAGTATTAAGTACTAGTTAATAATATATTTAAAAAAACACAATCCACAGAACATGAATTGACATTAATGCAAGTACTCTTTAGTGCAAAAGAGAAAATTATGTTCAAAGTACAGTTTCAGTGCAGTAGCAGCGGAGATGGGTAGAATAGTGACTGCATGGTGCTGGATGAGGGAAGGTTGTGTGTGTGTTTGGGGGGGGTTTAAAGTCCAGGTCCATTTGGGGCAGGAGGGAAAGGTGGGAGGCCGGGTGGAGAGGTCAGGGGAGATATTTTTCCGGGGGGGGAGAGAGGAAAGAGAGAGGGAGGGAGGGAGGGGAGAGAGTTCAGCATCCTGGTGGAAGAAGCTGTTCCTCAGCCTGGTGGAGCTCGAGCGGAGGCTGCGGAACCTTCTCCCTGAAGGCAGGAGGCTGAAGAGGCTGTTGGAGGGGTGGGTGGAGTCACCCACAATGCTGAGTGCTTTGCGGGTGTTATAAATGTCCTGTAGTGATGGGAGTGAGGCACCGATGATCCTCTGGGCAGAGTTCACAATGTGCTGCAGGCTCTTGCGGTTGGAGGCGGTGCAGCTTCCAAACCACAGCGTGATGCAGCAGCTGCTGAGGATGCTCTCAGTGGCACCTCGGTAGAAAGACAGCATGATGGGGGGGGGTGCTCTGGCTCGCTTGAGCTTCCGGATGAAGTACATCGCTGCTGGGCCTTCTTCTCTAGTGCGGTGGAGTTGTTTTTCCAGGTGAGGTCATCTGTGATGGTCACACCCAGGAATTTGGTGCTGCTCACCTGCTCCACAGCAGCGCTATTGATGGTCAGGGGGAGGGGGGGTTGGTAGTGGGTTCTCCTGAAGCCAAAAACCATCAATCAATCAATCTATGTTTATTTATATAGCCCAATATCACAAATGTTACATTTGTCTCAGTGGACTTCACAGTTTGTACAGAATATCAGTATGACAATACGACACCCTCTGTCCTTAGACAACAATCTCCTTTATTTTCTCCACGTTGAGGAAGAGGTTGTTATTTTGGCACCACAGGGCCAGCTGGTTCACTTCCCTCCTATAGTTAGTCTCATCGTTGTGGCTGATGAGACCCACCACAGTAGTATCGTCAGCAAACTTCACGATGTGTGGAGCTGAAGTTGGGTTTGCAGTCGTGGGTCAGCAGGGTGAAGAGAAGGGGGCTGAGCACTTAGTGGTTGCTTTGCATCTAATTTTGGTAACTTTGGTTATTTGTGGTATAGTTTTTCATGACTTTGTAACTGTTTTTCATCTTTTTGCAGTCATTTTTTGCTCTTACTGGTTGTCTTGCACATCTTAATGGTAAATGATCTTCTCTTTCTGGTCACCTTAATCAGCTTTCTGAAAATCTTGTGTTTCTTTGTGGTCATTTATTGTCTTTTGTTGTCGTGTTCATACACCTATACACAAACATTGCTATCATGCCATAACTGACAGTGACCGACTGACGGATTGGTAAATTCCACAGGCCAACTCAAAAGGAGAGAGAATTTTGATAGGCTAAATGATGTAAGGGCACAAGTATTTAAAACATCCAAAAAAAAAGCTTTAGTGCAATTTCAGAGGAATTTTCTGACAGAAACCCAGCCCTTCACTGGAAGTCAGATGTTAGTTGTATTCAGAGTATCAGGTTTGAACTTGTTGGATGCTTTAGTAACAGTTGAATGCCTCAATGCAGAAAAACGAGAGAAATCTCCTGTTTGTGCCTGGAGAGAAATAACTGCTCAAACAGAGGGCCAGCAACACCCAGATTTGCCAGTCATGACAGCATTGAGTTTAATACTAATAATTAAACCATTGGTTCACGTTAAAGTGAAATATTATATAGAGCAGGTGTTGCAAGTACAGAAGCTCAACTCAGGGCAGAAAGTGATATTGACAGTGACGCTGGACCTCAGAAGATTATTTGTTTTACTTTAACATCACATCAATCATATGACACATTTTGAAAGAATGTCCTTTCAGGCATATTATCATGATGCAATTTGAAATAACACACTTGATGGAGTAATCTGAGTTAACTTTAAACTCACTTCTGAGCATGCCCATATCATGGTTCCAGCTTCTCAAATGTGAAGATGTGCTACTTATTATATATTTCGATTATTTTAATGTACTATTACATCTTGCTTTTCGCTTTGGGCTCTGGGTTATTGTAATGAAATGTCTCCCTATTTTCTTATATTTCTGAAACCATAAATATATCATAAAAATAATCCTCATAGTCAGTAGATTAATGGGAAACATAAATAATCAATAGTTGCCGTCCTATAAAAAGTACTTACAAAATGCCTCAAACAACCATAGTCTCTCATAGTAAATAAATTAGTAATAATTACTTAATACATATTACTATAACAGTCACAGAGGGCATTGTCTACCTGCGTCCCAATTACCTTTGATGGAGTACTTTTAAGAACAAACCATACAGAAAAGGGCCGTTAGTCATTAGTACGCCAGTGCTCACATCCCACCACCAGGGGGCAGTGTGTCAAATCAAGAATACCCCCGGATGTTACAGCGTTGTACTTCCGGTTTGGCGGTAAAGCGTGTGCTGCTCTGCTGTGCGAAGTACAAACGTTTTGTGACGAACAAACATCACATTTATTCATTCCCAGACAGCATTTAGTAGAACAGAAATGGTGAGTACTTCTTACACATTTTTGATTCTGAATCCTTTTATATTTTGTTGGATTGTTTTTGCAAAGATAGTTGCGTGTTTGCTAGTTAGCATTAGCTACGTTAGCTACTCATTCATGACTTCACGTTAATGAATGAATCCCCCGTTTTGACTTGCAGCATGTGTACAATGTAATATATTATCACATAAACAGTAATAAGGCCAATGTTTTATTTATTCGGCAATATTTGTTAATATCACCGTGAAATGTTGCGCCCCTTTGTTTGGGTTTGGCCCTGTTTCTGTGGAGAGAAAGTCGCACCATACTCCATTGGAAATCGTACAATTTTAACTAGCATTTGCATTTATGAATACAAGTACTTTGTTGAACTCTTTAACTTAAACACTAGCTTTAATACAAGTTTCCAACGAAAAAACTCGCCTTTGTCTGTTTGGGTTTTCTGCCTGTACACATTGACTTGCTGTTTGCCTAAAACCGCGATGTTACCCACTATAAAGAAAGTAATGCAACTATAGTGCTATTTTATTTAGAAATAACACTGGGCTTGGCAGTAATTGCATACAGTTAAGGCTACACCAGAAGCTGTTTTTCAGTACCTTTTCAATACATGAGCACACGTTTTAAGAACAAATACCCTGGATAATTTAAGTATACAGTGTCACATTATGTGTGTGTAATCAACTAACACAGCCAAAATGAGCATATAGTAACCATTTCATATTTTTCCTCCATAGAGTTTACCCCTGAACCCAAAACCATTCCTGAACGGTCTGACAGGAAAGCCAGTGATGGTAAAACTGAAGTGGGGAATGGAGTATAAAGGCTACCTGGTGTCTGTGGATGGCTACATGAATATGCAGGTGAGAACAATTCATTGTGTATGACTTGTTCCATTACAGGTGGTATTTTTTATTAAACACAGATTTGTGCTAGCATCGCTCGCACAGAGTCCCAAAGTTGTTTTTGGATTTTGCAGCATTGTTGATCTCTTGCACTAGACCATATTGAGATTTTAGTCAAATTCAGATTAATTGTTCAGCCGACCACAAAGTGAGAAAAAGTCCCACCATTCCCCAAAGCAACAAAAACATTGCATAATTGTGTGTGGTACTGCGTGCACACTGGACTCAGGAAAGTAGCATATTTTAGAAGATCCTTCACCATATACTTTATATTTATATTATTATATATGTGTGAGAAACACTCTATTTTCATTACATGGATGCAGGCATCTGTGATTCTGCAGTTTAGTTGTGGAGACAGCCCTTTTCTCTTCTGCTTGATTTATTGGGTTTTTATATCAATATCATATTTTAAGTATCGACCATAACCGTTCACATACATGCATCTCTTGAACTTTTTATATACATGTTTTTCTGACAGCTGGCAAACACAGAAGAGTTTGTGGATGGAGCATTGGCAGGTCACCTGGGTGAAGTGCTTATCAGGTATGAATCCAAAACATATTTCCCTTTTCATTCCATAAATAACTCACTAGATGCTTATTATTCAGTAACATTCATATTTAATGTAAGATGATGTATTTGATGGAAAACAGGTCAATGCAGCAGTAACTGAAAAAGGCCTTAAAAAGCTGTTTTTTATGGCTCAAGATTCTTAACTTCTTTAACTAACATGCGTTAATAATTAACATGTCGTGTTAAAAAAATCAATGATGTAAGCAAAGGCTCCACACATTCAAACCTTTGTTCTTCTGTCTTTTTCCTGTGCATCTTTTTCTGCCAGCATTGTGTTCTAACCAGTGTTTTTACCCCACAGGTGCAATAATGTTTTGTACATCCGAGGTGTAGAAGAGGAAGAGGAAGATGGAGAAATGAGGGAGTGATGAAGAGGACCCGGCCCTGTTGTGTGATTGTATCTCGTAGTTGAGTTGATGTGTGTTTGTGTTTTCACCATGTGAAACAAATGAACGCCTGTGGTTTAGGTTTTTTTCAAGCAGTTTCAAATTTTGCTTTTTTTGTTTTACTTTGTAATACAGACACAATAAAATGATTATTGTACCCTTTCTTAAACCTGGTTGTTGTGGTTCTTGAATGTAACAGAAGCAGCTTATGTAAATCCTTCTGTAATTATTACAGGATTTCTGTAATGTCTGTGACAGAAGCCCCGCCTCTCTGTGCACTTTAAACCCTGCAAATATTTGCCTTTTCCCAAACTAGTTTGAAGCCAGTCACTCTGAAGCTTAGTGTCTACTTTGAAGGAATTAAACATGTCCAGAAATTACAGACTTCTGGTGAAGAATGCCAAACAGGTGGTTCTGATCTGCAACAACGGAGAGAAGTTTATGACCAAACATGAGATACTGAATCTTTGTGTGATTGAAAATGGAAGCATTGTGATAGGAAGGTAAGCATCAGAGGTTACTTCATACAATGTGACGGGCATGAGGGGTCACCTTCTGTTAAATCTTGTAAAGATTAATGAACAAATGTAAGGCAAACTGCATACATTCTCATGTGTGTTAATTTCATGTCAGCACATGCAGGATCTGCAGGTTTGATAGTTTAAAAATGGCTGTGGTGGCTTGTTACACCGGGGAGAACATGTTGGATAGCTGAAAACTCGGGCAACATTTATATCACTGTTCATTTTATTTCCCTATTAATGTTTATATTTACCAAAAATAAAGGTTCAACCTTTAAATAAAAAACATATCAGTTTGAGCTTTAGTCAGAGTTGTACTTGGTGCATGTTCACATCCAACCTGTGCTTGAAAATGGTATGCTAAAGAAACCAGAGGTGTAAAGTAACTAAGTACATTTACACACATACTTTACTTTGGTACAATTTGGAGATACTAATACTTAACTTGAGTATTTCCACTTTTTGTTACTTTGTACTTCTACTCCACTACAATACAGAGGTTAATAATTTACTTGAACTCTACTACATTTATTTAATACCTTTAGTTAACTTTGCAGATTTGGATGAATGATGTGAAATATAATCAAGTGTTAAATTAGAGTAGTTCCACCTGGAGTAAATTCACAAGCTACCCTGCAGTATACAAAGTCATTCAAACTAGCTGCACCTTCACCAGCTTAGAGAACACTTTAATGATCAATCATTATAATATATAAATATGAAATGGGCCAATCTTCATTAGTACTTTTACTATACTCTTAAGTATATTCTGATGCTAATACTTTTGTACTTTTACCTGAGTAACATTTTGAATACAGGACTTTCACTTGTAAGTGAGTATTCCTACACTCTGATACAATATCTGAGTAGTTCCTCCACCTCTGAAAGAATGTTACTGTGTCTAGTGACGGGCTGATCACAGCTGTGGGTCCTGCAGAGACCATCAGAGATCAGTTTGCAGGAGCCACCTTTGATAAAGTCATTGATGCTACAGGGATGTGTGTCCTGCCTGGTGAGTATCAGCTCCATAGGGTTTATATGCACGTTTCAAACTGTTTAGAGAGAATGCATTACAAGCAGCATACATGTTCCAGTTTTTATTTATTAAAATAAAATTGCCTTTAATATATTTCATAGCATAGTAAATATTATAAACTGTACAATAGGTAACTTGTAGGGTCAGGTAAAAAGAGTAATACAAATATTGTGGTCTGCTTAAAAATGAAAAAAGTACAAATATAAAAAGGTCGTTATAATATAAAAGATTCTGCCATGTCAAACATTTAACGTTTTATAAGTGGTATCTTTAAAAGTATAAAAGGACGGTATGTCTTCAAAGCTTTATGTTATGTTATGCAGCTAATATACAGTACATTGGTTTAATAAAAACAAGTAGCAGATCAAGCTGTTATTCTCGATATTTATTTCATGAGAAAGAAAATATTTAACATGTGAAATAGTTTACAATCTCAAAAAGTGCATCTGTTATTTACAGTTGTGAAGAAATGAGAGATGTTATGTTGTATATTTGCAGTTTTTCTTCAAATAGATGCTATGTTTGATTTGTATTTTGATGTTGTTTTAGGGTTGGTTGATGCTCACACTCATCCCGTCTGGGCTGGTGACAGGGTGCATGAATTTGCAATGAAGGTAAACCTTTGTTCAATATATTTTGACAGTATGTTTTTTTAAATTAAGATAAAGTGCTTACCACCGTCACTCAGTCTATCCTGTTTAATTATATGGACATTTTACTTTTACTTCTCATGTTTTTTCAATACTTTATTCTATTTTATTCTCTCTTGTCTCTATTAAATCTCTATCTTCATATTTATACATCTTTTTATTTTGTTCAACTCTTTTATTTGTCAATTCTGTTATTTTATATGTATTGCAAATGATTACTGTAATTTCTATCTTTTGTAAAAATGGAGCAACTGTCCTGACACATACAGTACTCTGATCTCTTGTATCTCCTGCAGCTGGCGGGCGCCTCCTACATGGACGTGCACCGGGCCGGGGGGGGGATCCACTTCACGGTGGAGCACACCCGGGCTGCCGGCCCCCCTGAGCTGCTCTCCTCCCTCAGCAGCAGACTGCTCCGGATGCAGCGGGCCGGGACCACCCTGGTGGAGTGTAAGAGCGGCTACGGCCTGGACCTGCACACGGAGCTGAAGATGCTGCAGGTCATCGAGGAGGCCAGAAACACCCTGCCCATCAACATCTCCTCCACCTACTGCGGGGCCCACGCAGTGCCTAAGTGAGGACGCTTATCAATATCTCATTAGCTGACAATAATATTTTCCTAGGCCCACACCTTTCAGAATACCTTTATTAGTCCCACAGAGGGAAAATATACATTGTTACAGCAGAAAATAGCCAAAGGCAGCTTAAGGATACCCACTTAGCATGCATGCATAAATATATACATATATACAAAAATTTAAAGTTACACAATTTACAAAAAGCACATCCTGTAACAGTTCTGAGGATTTATATATATTGCACAGTTTCTAACGGCATACTGTGTATATATATATATATATATATATATATATTGCACATAGTTGTTGGTTAACAACAAGGAGTGTTATAGTCAGTGTAATCAGTTTGTCCTACCTTGGGCTGCTGTGCTCTCAGTGTTTTGTCTCCCTGTTCCTGCCTGTTGGCGTCAGCTGATAGAGGTGTTATACTGCTTTATATTGTTATGCACACTGTTGATCATTCTCTCAGAAACAGCTAAATACATGGGACTGGGTAGAGATCTTCAGAATTGGCAGCACATGTCTTGGGAATTCTCTGGCCGAAGCTCCAAATAAACCATCAGTGTTTGCCATCAAGCTCCAGCTCTCCTCGAGTCTCGTTGCTTCAGGAGTTTCCGTCACACTTTCCAGCGAACACTATCTCTCTTTAACTCAGAGGGAAAACAGTGGAGGAGGCCACGGAGGACATCCTGCAGGTGCAGCTACCCAGGCTGAAGGAGCAGATGTCTGCAGGGACTCTGAGGGTGGACAACATCGACGTGTTCTGTGAGGAGGGGGTGTTCGACCTGAGCTCCACCCGCCGCATCCTGCAGGCCGGCAAGGACCTGGGCCTCAACATCAACTTCCATGGAGACGAGCTCCATCCCATGAACTCTGCTCAGGTAGCATTGAGGTTTATTTGGCCACCTTAAAGAAAGAGGAACTTCCCATCTTAGACATATTCTATTTCTATTACTGGTAAAACTGTATTTGCATAGTCTGCCCACAAATAGTTTGTATAGTATTTTACATTTAAACAGCTTATTGGCTAAGATTCAACAACTGTTTTACTTTGTCTGGTGATCTAAAGATGTGAACATCCACTAACATAAGTACATATTCATACAGCAGTTGTATTGAGTTAAGTTTTGTTTTCATCAGTTATGTTGTTAAACTCAACATTTTGGTGATTTATTTATATGGTGTTTGAAATATAAGCTCCAAAAAATAAGGGGTAATGTGAAAAATGTCCAAGGCCAACATACCAAAACTTCAAAGATGTTTCTAGGACATTACCATCATAGAAACTATTTAAAATGTCACATCTGCTTGATTAACTTGTTTTAATGATAAATAAATTATAGAAATTAGTGGGTTTTTTCAGTTTCAACTTTAAACTGCAAAAGGTTTTGAGCACTATCATTGTTTTACTGTGTTCTGTGTGTGTGTGTGTGTGGTGTGTGTGTGTGTGTGTGCGTGCGTGCGTGCGTGCGTGTGTGTGTCAGTTGGGTGCAGAGCTCGGAGCCTCAGCCATCAGTCACCTGGAGGAGGTCACAGACCAGGGGATCGCTGCCATGGCAACAGCGAGAACCGCCGCCGTCCTTCTACCAACGACAGCTTACATCCTTAGGTACTGTATCACCAGTGCTGGAAAGTAACTAAGTACATTTACTTAAGTGAAAAAAGTAGTATTTTGTTTTTATATCATGAGGTTTTTATTACCAAGTAGGTTGGCACAGACAAGGAATTTGTCTTGGTGATCAGCAGCATAGCAATTAATACAGTGCAGAATATTTGTATTTTTAAATCCAATAAATGTATTTGACAGCTTTAGTGACTTTGGAAATACATTGCATAAAAAAAATGCATATGAAAAGGATACAAAATAGTATAATTTTTTCATGATATGTATTTCCTTTAATAATTATATTGTCTTTTTACTTTCTCTATCACCGACTTCAGTTCATATTGTAGTGCACTTGCGAAATGAATGTACACAAAATAAATGTGCAACTATTATAATAATCATGCACACAAATACTCACAGACCCCTCATTACTGTGAGTTTTATATTTAATGTTTGTGTGTGTGTGTGTGTGTGTGTGTGTGTGTGTGTGTGTGTGTGTGTGTGTGTGTGTGTGTGTGTGTGTGTGTGTGTGTGTGTGTGTGTGTGTGTGTGTGTGTGTGTGTGTAGGCTGCCTCAGCCCCGGGCCAGGGACATGTTGGAAGCTGGAGTTATTGTTGCCCTCGGCAGCGACTTCAACCCTAACGCCTACTGCTGCTCCATGGTGAGTAGTGTTGCATGGTGGGTAAAACTCATCTCTGTTTTTATGATGGGATTATTTGTGTTGACCTCTCTCTGTCTCTTCTTCACCCTTCCAAGCCGATTGTCATGCACCTGGCCTGTGTCAACATGAGGATGTCCATGCCTGAGGCTCTGGCTGCGGCCACCATCAACGCAGCCTACGCCCTGGGGTGCTCCCACACACACGGCTCCCTGGAGGTCAACAAGCACGGAGACCTGCTGGTCCTCAACACCACACGGTACATCAAGTCAAGAGTTACACACACAGAAAAGTATTAGTCTTTTATAATGACACTAAGTGTTTGAGACAACTACAATTATCAAGGAAAGGTAGATTTAACATTAACATATTCATATCAAATAGAAAAAGCACCAAACTCTAATAAATTGAGGTGTGTTCTACTTGTTGCATTGATTTGGAATCTTTAGGTCATATGACATGAAATCTTTAGGAAAAAAACAGAATTACCTCCAATAAATTGTTTAAAAAAATAAAAAACTGTGACCAAATAAGACACTTTAATTATATATTTTTTAAGCATAATTTTCACTTATTTGAGAAAGTTAGCATGTATGAGTGTAACGCTGATCCCCCCTGTGTGTTCTGTTGCAGATGGGAGCATCTGATCTACCAGCTGGGGGGGCATCAGGAGCTGATCCGCTACGTGATCATCAAAGGAAACATTGTTGTTGATAACGACAAAACTCTGGACCTGTAACCATAAGACAAGTGAAGTGGCCGGTCCACAGCTTTAGGATTTTAAGGTAACACTTTGACATTTCTGGAAATATCTTGGCCTTATTATTTCCCTGTATTTCCCAAAATGTAAAAGTGTTTCTTTGCTAATATTGACCTTTAAATCTGTTGTTGTCACTAAGACGTTATTGTGTACGCTGCCTGTCAAAGAAAGTGACTGAGGTGAATAATCTATTACTATCTGTCAAACACATGATTTAAGATAAATGTCATGTTACCTGTTGATTAAAATCCACTTCTCTATTCAACTATCTCTGTTTCATTCATCAGAGTAAAGCCTGACTTCATTCAGTTGCAGGAATGTCATAATCACCTCAGAAACAGGTACAATTATCCAGCAAAGTAATCACACAGCTAATTGATTGGCATGATGTGACCTTTGTTAATGTGTCACCTGACCTGGTGCTCGCCCTGCTTTGATCTGTTTGCAATCTTAGAGCTGCTGCATGACCGTCAGGGTGAGAGCTGATACTAGAACCACAGGGTAAAGATAGCAGGAGCAAAGAAAACAGAAGTAATGAATCAGTTATCATATCTGTGAAGAGTGTTTTATATCACATTTTATTTCAACCTGCTATACTGTGACTTTTAGTTGACATACTATATTGTGTTTTTTGACATTTTTGAAGTGCTATGCAATTACTTTTTTCAGAAATGTTTGACACTATGATAGGACGTTTTTTTTATCATACTATACTATGACTTTTTTTCCAGAAATGTACAACATACTATATTATAATATTTTCTTTGACATTTTTCTTCACTGGCCTTTTTTTCCCCAAAACTTTGACAACTATACTGGGACTTCTTTTTTCTGAAATTTTCGACATACGATACTGTGATGTTTTTGATTGAAATGTATGATGGTTCTTTTCATCATACTATGACTTTTCTTTCTGACATTTTTCGTCATTTTTGAGAAATGTTGGCCATACTATAATAAGACTTTTTTTTCTATTAATTTGACATACTATATAATATTAAGTATTTTTCTGGAACTTTTGATGTAGGCCTACTATACTATGACATTTCTTTCTGAAAAGAAATCAACATGCTGAAAAGCTTTTTTTTGACATACTATACTATGACATTTTAGTACATTTTTGACACACTATGGTATAACGTTCTTTTTCAGAATGCTATATTATGAAGTTATTTTGGACATACTCTACTTTGATGTTTTTTCTGTTATAATTCAACATATGCACATTTTTTAAAACATATTGTAATGTTCTTTTTTCCTGTAGTTTGACATTTTGCAGGACCAAAGAAAAAAAAAGTAAATGATCAGAAACATCACAAATGTGAAGAGTGCTTTTATTGAACATCTTAGTACACAATACTTGTTTTATCTAAATGTACATCATATATTTTTCCACAGGCAGAGTTTAACAACCCCAAAAAATAAATTCTCCCCACTCTTCCACTTTACCTGTGTTCAATTGACCGAGACAAATTGCAAATATTACACATAAAAACATGCATTAAAAGTGTGTTTTTAAAAAGCTACCACATGGAATACTACTTTAATAGACAGAGAGAATGTGAGATTTAAGGCTATAATGGCGTGACAACTCTTTTATGAAACCATGGTAACAGTCTGGGACGATCATCAGGCTTCATACTTCTTCCCCGCTCGGTGGATCTGCTGGTAGAGTGTCATCGAGAAAGCCATACCAAGGAGCTGGGAAAAGAAAAACATGTGTTAAAAAGAAGAAAAAAAATAATTGTACAATTCTACTTTTCTATGAGATAGTATGTATTACAAATCTTTGAAATAACTCATACAATGTTGTGCGATTTTTATGAAAGGATTTTTATACATTTATTACATCATGATGGTTTTTTTCAACATACAATACACTTTAATATGATGTTTCCAACATACTATACTATGACTTCTTTTTGACATACTATACTAGTGACTTTTTATCTGAAATGTTCGCCATACTATACTATGTTTTTTTCGACAAATGTCAAATGACATTTTTCTAGACATATTTTAAGTTTTGGACATAAGGGACCCTTATCTAACAAATTGCAAAAATTATTTATTCAAAAGTTTTCTGAAATGTCGACATACTAAACTATGACATTTTTTCTGACATTTACTATTCTATGTCTTTTCAATGTTATTAAAATACAATAACATATGTGCCGATTGTAGCCTGCGATAAAGATCTGCTTACCTGTATGACCAACACACACATGGCGATGGTTCCCAGAAGGTGTTTGTTGTCGTCCAGCCACTGCTCCACCTTCTCATAGCAACCCTGAAACCCACATCAACAGTATTTAGGAATAAAAAGATAAATGGCAAATCAGAAAGTTTAAAGCAAACACTGTGTGACTTTTGCTTTTGTTTATATTCAGACAACAATAGGTTTTGACTCTTATAAACTTGTCACAGCACAACTTTATCACAACTTCAAAGACTTCGTAGCCACAGATAAACCCACTGACCCGTGTCCAGAAGGTGTTGGTGGCGTTGCGTCCGCAGCCCGGGTAAACCTGCTGGCAGCAGCGGTCAGGAACCCCGTTATCATGCAGGGCGATGAACCAGTCGTTGTGGTCGTTCACACCGCAACACCGCCACTGTGCACAGGCAGGAGAGAAGGAAACAGGAAGAAAATATACTATATTAATGGCAATTTAATGACATAAACAATTAATAGTATATAGTATATCATAAAGTATAATATATAATACTATAAACTTTATAGTATAAAGTATAGTGTTTTTTGAACATTTTATTTTTAGTTTACTTAAAAAAGTTATAACTTTAAGATTTGTAATTCCATTACATACAAATGAAAGACATGGAAATGGTTAATAGCATACCTCTCCCTGTATGGTGTTCCATGCATCCCTGAGACCAGCGTTGTTATCAGTGTTGTACAGCACCAGGCCTTCTTTCAGGTCCCGTCTGGCATTCTCACTCACCTGGGCAAACCAAAGAAAAGGTGGTCACACTCGCCCACAGCATGAGATGATTGGTTAATAAATACATAATGTTCTTTCATGGAGTCTTACCTGGTCCATATAGACAAAGAACAGGATGAGGAGGATAAGTTCTGCCAAGAGGATGATCAACAGAACGATGAAAAACTGGAGAAAAAATTAAATAAAAGTGTCTTTTAAACTCAACCAGAGAAAGAAAAAGCAGAATGTTGCATTCATATCAATGCTAAACAGTGATGCCTCATGGGTAGTGTAGTTTACTCACACTCAGAAGCAGACACTTGTTCTCCTTGATGGCCCCAAGGCAACCCAGGAAACCGGTCACCATGATGACGGTGCCAAGTGTGATGATGAGGTTGGCGGCGGAGATCGAGGGGAAGGAGGGTGACAGGGTGGCGAAGCTGCCCTGAGACACCGAGAGCCACACCCCCACCCCCAGCAGCCCACACCCCCCCAGCTGAAACACACAAACACAGGAAACTCACACACTTCCTGTTGATTTATTGATAATGAAACGCTTTGGCTGGCATTCTGATCTGTTTTTGATGTTTAGTCAAAGTTTCTGGCTGTGTGTGTGAAATATTTACCCAGAAGGCTAGGTTGAAGAGGAAGAGCATGTATTTAACGCAGCAGATGCAACCTCGAGCCATGATTGAATCGCCAGGCACTGCAGGGAATAATAGTATATGATAAAAGGGAGAAAACATCTCAAAGATATGTCATGGAAATGTTAAAATAAAGTAGTATTTAATCAAAAAAACAAAAAGAGTCACAATTATGTCATAACAACGTTTTAATCTAGATTGCTTCATTTAAAAGTATACTATACATCACAAAGACTGGCTATGGTTAGGTTTTCTTTCCTCTATTGCAGGTTTTTTAAGTTACCACAAACATCACCACACTACAAACTACCGTATGATGTCACTACAGACATCATACTGTAGTTCACAACCTCTTAGTTTCTCGTTAAATCCCACTGACGGTAAACATTTAGTTCTACATGTCATGTCATGCTGAAACCACCCAGAAAATACAAGAGGTAAACTTACCACTTCAACTAGCAGGAGAACAGAGGAGCTCTAGATGTGTACCTGCAACACACCAGAGAACACAAACATTCACACATACTGTTTATTGTGTACAGGCTTTTTTTTAAACGCACTTGCTTTAAATTATGCCAATTTTAGTTTGTTTCTGTAATTAAGAACCAACAATGCTCTCTTTATAGGCCCATCCCACATTAATTACAACCTCTTTTATAGAAACATGCATCTTCCAGTAACATGTACACCAAAAAAAACACATAGGACTTATGTTAGTTACTTCTATATGAGTCAAAGACGTAACATAGACTTTGTGGAGTAACTGTACACTGAAAATAACAGCTACACGATAAATGTCATTTTTCTTTTATAAAAGTTTTCCAGTGTGAAATGTACATTTAAAGAAAACTATAAATAGTTAAAAAATGTAAGAAGTAGTATATGTTGGCCAATAATTATTTGCAGTACAGAAAAACCTATCCATTACGTTGGAGATGAATTAGAGATAGAGACAGCTACCCTTTTAGATAGTAAAATAACGACGTATCAGTACAAAATCAAAGTCCAAATCCTTTAAATACTAATTTAAGGGATCCTTTATCAGAAATGTTTGTTTATGATTATATATATCAGTTGTTGGGCTCCACTAATAGAACATCAATGGCCAATTGTTTTGAAAGTAGATTAGTAGTTTACGTTAGAGCTAAAAAATAAAAATGGAAGTGGAAATCATCGCTTAGGTAGTAGAAAATAATGGACATTTAGCTTTAATAGAAGATATATTTTTTAATAGGTTGCTTGAAGACTTGTAAATGAAACTGCTTTAAATGCTTTTTTTGTTTGTATTATTTAGTTATATGCGACAGAGGTATCTTCTATTTCTAGAGGACGTGACGTCAACGGTCTGAACTTCAGTTTGCGGTTTTTGTGAAAGTTTGCTTTAAATCAGGCAAATATAAGCACTAAAATCAGTTCTAAACGCACTTATTTTCATATTTCGTGAGAATAAAGCATGTTAGGTTTTGAATACAGAAAACTAAGATATCTCTACTGGAGGTTCAGGCCGTGATTGTTTGGTACTCCATGCGATCAAGAGAAGGAAAAAGAGGGATAGTTGTGGTAGTTTCCTACCGTCTGCTATGAACGCATATCCCCGCTAACGTCTCAGGATTCAGCCGGTAAACACCTCCGCATTCCGGCTTAACTTCAGCTGCTTTCCCCTCACAGCATCCCTCGGTGTG